CAAAAAAAAAGTTTTAATAAAAGCGTTTGAAGCAACATGATATTTGGTCAGTGGTTATATTATAAATAAGATACAATTTATTTACATTCCACAGATCATTCTAATACATATATAAACTAATATATATATTTATTAAGCACTAATAAATCTCATTATCAATTAATTTCTTATAATTTCTCATTCACAGTAACGTTCCGTATGACCATGTACGTGACACTTTAAAAGAGTTACATTTCATGAACAGAAATTAAAATATTAAATCGAAAACCCGTAATTATTAAATAAAATACTAAAATCTCGTTCCAATTAGATTGTAGCATAGATGTTGTCTCAAATTTTATAAAAAAATGTTCACTTTAACTGTAATACAATTACTCTCGTCTTGAACATAATTTGAACTCATTTGCGTATTAACTTCTTACAATATATTCCTTTCCCTGCAATTTTGGTGTTGTGTTTAACAAGCTTAGAAATCCCACGCATTACAATGTACAGCGTTCACAAAGGAACGATAGCGACACCGCTCAGTGCTATACCAAGCGATACATTTCACCAAGTTCTAGGTTGGTAATTCGTATACTCATCTATTATTCTGTACTTCTCCTCAGTTTTGTTGTTTGTTTCAAGCTCACTAATTTAGTATTTCAATTTTGTTTTTAATGTATTTGTTTCCGAGTGTTCAGTTTGTTTACTTTATTCTTGTTATCGCTATTCATTTGGTTTGCATTCTGCAACCACTGCAGCATAACCTACTTCCTTTATCACAGTAATTTTGAACATTTTTCATCAAACCTGCAAGAATCCTGTAAACACCAGCCCAGTAGTCATTTCCTGGACAAAATCACTGAATCCCTACCCCATAATCTTCAGCTAATTTTGTCACCATCTGTTCTCAAATAAGTAGTGAAAACTTTTGTTTTATTATCAGTATGTCATGTTTTTGAGCCATTTTACTTAGGTTCCACAAGTGTTAACTACCATTCTAATCTGATGCACGAACATGCCTTTTGGAACTAACCTCCTCACACTATCGATACTGAACATAAAGCAGGGAGACAGAAAGGTACTGTTTGACCATACTGACCCCCCACCCTCTGAACTAGGAGTGGAAGTATGTCGAAAGACTATTTCATACGTCTGCATTTATGTTAAAAGAAATAAATGTGGATGGATAATCCAAACACAAGATAATCATAATCTGCATGTGGATAATTGGGAGTTTATTGTATATGTACAGTAAGATACCTTTTTCCAAGTATATTATATATTTTATGCTCTTGTAATACAAAATAAGTTTTCTTAAATCCAGTTTCATTTGCCAACTTTGTCACTGATGACCCCACCTCAAAAATGATCCAAAAAGTAGAAACTGAAAAGCACTTCTACAAATATTTCAATCACAATGTTCTCTTGTCATAGAAAAGCTTGTTGTATTCCAAAGAAGGTTATGGGCATAAATGGGGTAATGTAATAAAAAAAGCCAAATTATTAATTAAAAATATGGAAACCAACAGTGGCCAAGAAAACTTAAGAAATTAGAAAATAAAGTACAGAACATTTTATAATGCTATTTAGAGTATAGACTAGAAACTAGAGGAATGAAATATTTTTAAGTAACAATGGAATGCATGAGTAAAAAACTTGTACTTCAATCCACAGTGTCTTCACTGAAGAATATCCAAAGTCAGGCATGCACACTCAACAGAAGGAAATCTAGACATTTTAGTTGTTGTACGGTTTGAGTTGGTTCTCCTATTTCTATGTACATTCTTGATCCTTGTCTGAACCATTTCTTGAAATCACTGTGAAATCAATAACTTACCTATATCTGAATATAATGTCACAATTAAACAACAACACTTTTATTTTTGTTCATTACTCCTGAATATATGATGTCCAGTAACCTTTCCCTTTAGTTAATGGCACATTTTTCACTTATATGACTGTGCAGTAATGGTAGCTCCACTTTGATGATGTTTCATTTATTTTAAAAGACAATATTCTTAAAGGACATTTCAGTGCTTTATGAATGCAAAGAATAATCTTTTACTTTATGGGAAAAGATGATATAAAGTCTGACACTATGGAGCTATTGTTAATAGTTTGCCAGTATGCTAGTGCAATGCACATACAGCTGGGCTAAGCATAAGACACAAAGGCCAATAATGGATAAACATTAAGAACTACTTATCAACAAGGTACCTATAACATAAACATTGGCAATGTGAAATTTTGCTCTGGTGGTGCAATGCAATGACACTATTAAGCCATTTCTCAGTGGCAGCAAGATCAGGACTGAGTCCATAGAAGAGAAACAAATATAATGCCATTAAACTTCAAAAGAACACACTAGGGAATGTATTTTTGCATTTGACCTACAAAAAAGAAGATGCTCCTTCATATTATACATTAAATGGCTCACCTCATTCATTTTTGTTTCACAGTTAAACTTTTGAGCTCTTGTGAATGATTAAATTACTTTCACAATTATGCCTTTAAAAATAAAAATGTATCTAGGTATGTGACTAGCTCATGTGTTTCTTTAACATACTGACTTCCATGATGGTTACCAGTAGGTCCCCTGGAAATGGATTTCAGTACCAAAAGAGGCACCAGTTGGTCGGAGTACTATATCGTTTATATGGAGGCTCAGTCTTCACAGAGTGAAATAATATATTTCCAACAACACAGCTGGGACAGGAAAGATTCATGACATTTGTGAGAGCGACCAGGGTGTCACATGGTCCATACAGAAAGGGTTCAGATTTTTTTTCAGAGTGGTGAGAGGGTCACAGGGTGAATTGAGTTGCTGTGCTATGCTCCATATATTTACTTGTCATCAATGAATGAGATACCTTTCTGCCTCAAATCAGCTTTTGCCTGTTGAATTTCCTGAAAACAGAAAATAAGATACAGAATTTTTCAAGTCACAAAATCTTCAAAGAAATATGTCAACTGCATCAACAAAAGAATTGCAAATTAGTGTAATTTATCTATACAAGATCTGTTAATAACAACATAACCAATAAATACATACAAAATTCTGTATTAAATCGTAAATATTCAACATGACTTACAATTATGTTAACATAAACAATGACTGGCAATTATTAAACAATCACACTACATTTATTCTAATGCTAAATACATTTATTTTCATCCAATTTATATTCCTCACAATATCTCTGGAAATGAAATGGGGAACTACATTCAAATTTTCATGATGCTGGCTACATGTCATGCTTCTGCAGGCTCTGAATGAAACTTTATATAGCTGGTCAAATTTATTCTGTTTGATTTGGTTTATACTGAGACATAGTTCTTCTATATTTCCAATATTTTAGGGAACCTACTGTCGCAAGAATCACAAGGAAAGGAGCACTAATGGGAACATTAAAACAATTTTAACCCATTTTATATAAAAAATAGCAAACCTATATCAATCACCCTGCATGATAAAGAATTTTAATATCCAGATAACCAGTGGTAACTCACTTAAGAGAATTGGAATGATACAGAGGAAGGCATACAAAATACATGTAACCAACAATTAGACAAAGAGTGACAAATCACTGAAAGAGAAAAGGGTCATTGTGCATTATCTCCTCACCACTAAAAAGAAATATGCAAATACAATAATGCAGAAGAGCCAGCCTATTATCTTTGTTAGACAATGAAGGATTGTCACAGTAGTGGTGTGCACCAGTAAGAACATTCTACCTTACAAAGCTTTTCGTTATGCTAGTTAAATACATATTATCTATAATTAGTATAACAGAAGCTAGTCCAACCTGAAGTAGAATATACTGATGTGCAATTATGCTATGACAAACTCTTTTATATCATGCACACACTGAGTGAAGGATAAACTTTTCAGTGATATTCAGATGACAGTCTTCACAGTACCTTCGCGAAAAAAATACCTTTTCCACCACAAATATCTGGTATGACCGAAATCTTGTAATTAATTTATTTTCAGTAACAGGGAGATAATGCACAAGAACAGATAAACATAAATGTTCAATTAATTAGTTTAAAAAAGTCTTCTTGGATACAACTGTGAAGATAAAGTTACATGTTATAATTGAAGGGACTCAAATTTAAAATTGTGGAAGCATAATAAATGCTGAATTCCTCAAACAATTTAAACAGTTTTGCAACACATGTTTTATTGTGTGAAACTACTTACTTACAGTTTACTATTATCTTACCTTCTGTAGCTCTTTGGCAGCTTCATCACAATTATTAAAAGTATATACCCTCCACAGCACCACTATGACTGAATAAACCTGTAACAAGGATAAATACAAGTGTGTCACTATAAGATAAATGCCAATTAAGTGGTGATAGTGTCACACATATATTGTAGGATTTGAGGTTTTCACGGTGATGAGTCTGAAGATTGCTGTCTTCTCACACATATATTACTTGTTGGCTTCAGTTTTAAAGTCATTTTTTTGGGGATTTCTTTCTAGAATTAACACCACTTAATAAGTCTATAGTAGATACTGCACACATTTCAAAGAATTACTTTAAACAAAACGTTCTGGGAAGAAATGATGTTATTTTAATTTTAAGTAGTTCGGAGATCCTGAAGATGGAAATGACACATGGTAACCAAATTTTATAGGAACAAATGAAGTAATAGAACATATTATACATGAACTCTCTAACCTGCCTGTATAGAACCTGGTTCCTGTGGCATTCACCTTCCATATTTTAATACACTAATTGCATATCTAATGCTGAATACCAACAATTTTCTTCACATAAATACAATATCCACAAAGTATACCACACACAATATTCACATGTAACATGAAGATGACTGTCTTCTGGGTTGTAGTACTGGTAGAAGATTACCATTGTTTCAGAAGTACTTGCTGCCTCCATCATCAGGACAATGAAGGCAGCGAGTACATCTGAAATGTTGGTAAACTTCTACCAGACTACATGATGCTAAAACTCAGATGACAGTCATCTTAACAGTAGTACATGAGCACGCATACAGCAAGTAAATGACACTGACTGGCTTATGAGGGCATCATTAATCATTCAACAGCTGCCATCATTCACTTAGCACATTTCACAGGACTACAAAACATCACAAGCCAGATGGCAATCCAAATGTTCACCATAACAAACTCTTGGGTCTCACCAATTCATGATTTGGTGCACGAATAAGACTAGAAATTAAATTACTATAATTCATCCCACTAATACTAGAACAAACAATTATATTCTTTCCTCAAAATAACAGGCAATGTTTCACACACATACAAATACCAATAGCAGAACTACTGTTTTATACATCCTGAGCTTTAGTGTCTGCAAGGCAAACATAATAATAACAGTTTCTTAAATGAATAATAAGAATAAAAATTAAGAATTTATTTAAATCATATTATTATTGTTCCCAGATACTCAAAATTTCTAATATCTATATTAAAAACTTCCATGCTCAATTTGTAGATAGGTTCATAACCTGTCATCATACCAAACTTCATAATTATTACCAACAGGCAAAAAGAAACATTTTGTGCAGTTGCTGAGTTGTTATTGTTCTACTTAAAAATTATTTTAACAAATTACATATTCCCATATCTTCAAATGTGAAGACAATGAATAATACTACTGCTAACCTCATCAGAGAAGTTCCTAAATCTGTGATGGAGTAGTTTATATGAGATCTTATGCTCAAACTGATTTTCATGAAAATAAAAAACTGGCTCAGTTATTCTAGTGGAAAGAGGCATATGATACAAAACACAGGTGCACTTAAAGAAACTTGCACAAAAAAGATACCAGTCTTTAGAAAACATTTAAGATATACCTAGTTTTATTATTATGCTAATTTTCATACAAATGTCTTTACTGACTTTTATGAGAATCTAACTATGATGTTAATTAAGTACTTCAGACACATTCAGTTCTATCCTGAACTTCATGGCATAGTACTCACCCCAAACAATGTTACAAGAATTAAAGGTAGAGGGACGATGACAGACATCCACTCTTCAAGCAGGTGCACTTTTATCTGCCTTGATATCAGGGCACCCCATATACCAAGGAAAATGCCCATACCAAAAAGCCATTCTATTAACTTAGTCATCTTGCTGAAACCTGATCTGCTGGTAGAAATGATTGTCCTTCACTGCAAGAATATGATGAACATATTAAGAAAGCTATATATAAACAAAATGTTATTAGCCTATCTACTGAATTTCTTATGCCCTCTTTGGCTACAAACATTTTCTTCCACAAACCTTGCAAATGATAGATGCATGTCTGAATGTTTGAGGCAGCCAGACTCTACCTGTTATAAAGATTTGCAGTACTAAACCACTCTCTGATGACATACACAGCCACAGATGAAAATATTCAAGGCAATCTTTCCTTCAGGCACTTAGTTTGAATTTCTTAGGTCATTTAAACTTCACCATCATGTCCACTCACTCCTAGAGGGGTGCTTACGGCGTCTACAAAATTAAAATACTGCCAGCAGCCTCCAAGGGCATTCTTTAGATAAATGATAACTTGCATTTTTCTTCCAAGAGAGAGATAAATGCCACAATTTTACAGAAAAAAGTTATTACAATGGGTGGTTGCCTAGTGCCTGCGCCTTCTAAATGTTGGTTGTTATTATGCATACATTTATTTGAAGATTTTTTGCGATCTGACTGACCCAGAAGGATCCAATAAAAAACACTTCTTTCTAAGCTTTTATTCCAAATTTAACACAATTATCCAGCAACCAGAAAAGACTGAAGGACCGCAACAGACAATGATTTTAAGTACGTGATTTTTCTGAATATATCACTCCAAAATCAGACCTAAAGCTCACGTTCATGATGCAAAACATCACGCAACTGCTACGTTTCATAGTGTTTTTAATATGACATGAAACTTTCAAATACAGGTTATGTCGTCCTATGTAAATAGTTATTACGCTGTCAAAACACGTAAAACAGAAGTGGAAATAACCATCAGTTACAGAAATATATAATATTCCAAACTAACCCTCACACATGCAAAACCTTACTGCCACCGACTACCTGTAAACGCCAATGTGCCACGAGTGAAACGAAGATGCATCAATTTCTCCAAACAAAATTCTCTCACACACATTAATATACATTCTATCAATCCTATGTGTTCTTCATTTGCCATGTACTCATGGCAAACTCTATACAACACCCACCTAATCCTGTACCACTGGTCATCTGTGCATATGTAAAGCGTGATTTGTGCTGTTGATGTTCTGTACTCTTTGTACCCAACATTGTAACTCGGATTATCTGTGATCTGAACACATAGTTACGGGACGCGCAGGAGGAGTGAAGACCTGCAGTTGTTTATAAACAAGTGACGTTGTGTAAAATGGAAAGAGAGTTGTTTTTCGATCTTGTTCCTTCGAAGACTTCTGTAGATTCTGGAGTAGACACAGGAAATGATAGTAACGACAGTCATACCACTTTCGATTCGCAATCCGGAAGATATATTCCAGGGGAATACTTCCGAACATTTGAGATTCCTATTCCAAATTCATCGGTCAAGAATCCAAACACGAATACAACTAGAGAAGAAGCCAATGGCTCTGTGGAAGTTGGAGAACATGGTAAAATTGAGGTAATCATCTGTGAAGGTGATATATTATCGGTACTTGGTTATAAACATTACACATTTTTTAGTAATTTATTATGTTAGAGTTTACAGTTTCACCAACCAGTGCATAAGGCATCTTTGAAAGTAGATCTTCCAGCGGGATTGGCCTTTTGTAACGTACAACCTTCAAGCCTTGGTATTGGAAATGGCTATGGAGATAAAGGTAGTAAATATATGGTATGAAGTATCTTAATGATGAAAGCCATATGCAATGGTTGTGTGATTAGCACTCATTTTGCCTTGTTCCACAGATTGTGTGATTCATGATGAAGTACAGCGAAAGATTCGCCTTCGTCGTATGCTGAGGCATAATCGATGGTCAGAATTGAAGAAATCTATAGGTAAAACTGTCTATTTTACAAACTAGAAATTGGCATATGAAGTTTAAACATGTATTTTGGGTCTTTATGTAATACTACATGAGTAATATACACAATTTACTATTTTATTACATTTTTTAAGTTGCCCAGAATGTGGCAATTGCTGCAAAAGTAATGTCTTCCAATTTGTTTAATCCTTTTCACATTTCAAAAAAGTGATTGAGTTAACACTGTTTGGAACACAGCTGTGGAATAGTGAACAGAGATGTTTCAGGATTTTTATTCATTTTACACCTATCCCTCAATTTATGAACATCATTCAATAAAAACTTAATGAATTGAAAACTAAATTCCCATCAATTTCATTGTAAAAAAAATTGACTAGTGACCCACCTCCCAAAAAACTTTCCCCACACTAGAATATTGTAGTCATAAAAATAACACTTTTGCTTTTTATGATGGTTATTACTTATTAAACCTGGAAAGCACTACTGAAGTATTAAATCAATGCTTACACTGTGCAGCAGTTACAATTTAAACATCAGAACATACACATTCCTTCATGTGTGTTACTTACAAAGAGGAAACTCTGCCCTTGGGTGAAGTTTGGTTCTTCACTGTAGAGCATAAACTTCCATATAATGAAAAATTGATATAAATTCACAGAGTTCATTGTAGCAAAGCAAATTGGAAGTTTGTAAATCGAGGGATAGGGGTATTTACCTGTTTCATGTTTGATACCAGATAAGCACATCTTACACCAAGCAGTCTCAACTAATAATGTGGACCGGGTGGCAGCCTTATTAAGTTCTGGAGTTAATCCCAACAGTGTAGATCATCAACATAGATCACCTCTTCATTTGGCTGCATGCAGAGGCTATTGTGATGTTGTGAGGTCAGTCAGTTTCTTCTTTCCTTTAAGCAGTCTGTATTACTGTTACGTGTTGTTGACTGAATTAATTTTAATGATGTGATTTTCATAAAATGTCAGTATTTTTAACATCGTTCTGTGATTGTACATAATGGGGGGGCAGGAGAGGCTTTCTTCATTGTTGGCTCAGTAACCAGTGATATTGGATGATATTTATGTCTTGCTTGTGGTATTTATGCTAATGATTATTTTGGTCTTTGTTTTCAGTGCTTTGAGGACTACACCGTTGTATTTTTGTGATTACTGAATTATACAGTAGATTCCGGTTAATTGGGGCACCCATTTATTTGGGACAAATCTTGAAGAACAAACCTTTTTAACTCTTTACGTGGAACTTTGCATAATTGGGACAAAGTGTTCTAGTCCTGATGTGTCCCAATTAACCAGAATCCATTGTATTTTAATTTCATGCTGCAGGACTTGCCTACAAAAGTTGATTAAAATTTGGTTGACATTATAAAGTTATAGCAGTTTAAGTCCTTAATCCCAGACATTTTCACCATACAGCTACATTAAGATAAAATAATCCTGCCATCAAAATGTAACATCAATTTATTATGTCACTGCCACAGTTAATAGAACAGTTGTGGTTCAGCTTGGTAATGGAATCCAAATGCATTTTTGTTGTATCTCATTGATTTCATCTGACCCTTAGTGAAATTAGTTTTTCACTGCCAAAAGCAATTACTAGTCACTCATTTTTGTTATTACAACTTTATCTCATCAGATCCTAATGTGGGTCAGGTATTCTTCACATTCACGGGTTTTGATGTTGTTAGAGGAAGCAATAAGGCTAATTAACATTAAGAAAAGTCAACACTGGTTGGGACTGGATATCATATGCAAGACTCAGAGCAGAGCAAGCTTGTCATAATTTGTTTTGTGGTACAAGGGGTAACTTATGATTTTGCAGACTACTGTTGGATAGAGGAGCTAATCCTAACATCAAAGATTATCTGGGGAATACACCACTTCACCTTGCTGCCTGTACCAGCAATGTTGCTGTTGTCACATTATTGCTTAAAGCAGGTAAGGCTTTACCAACATACATAGTTTCAGAGGGACTTACATTGTATTCACTAAACTTGTCAAAACAACAGATGTAGTAAAAAAAATTCTCAGATATTTCAACATAAAATTTTTATTTTAATTATCTTTGAAATGATGTTTGTCAAATTTAAAATTTTCTAGGCACCGATGTCAGCAGCATTGACAGGTTTGGCCGGAGCCCTTTACAGTTGGCCAAGTCAAAGCTCAGATTACTTCAGATGAATTTTCCAAGCACAGAGAATTCCAACTTGAAGGAGGAGGTTCAACAAGTTATAGAAATGATGTACACTTATTTATACAAACGTGGTCAAGAAACTGAAGCTGAACTTTTGGATGCATTCTCATCACGGCTTACATTGAGTCATACCCGAGAGGAAGTACAAACTGGTATGCGTGATTTATTGGCCAGCCTGGCAAGCCTCAGTCTTGATAAGACCACTAGTGACCATAAAAAGTGTACTGACAATTGAAGTGTTTTTTAACTCTTCATATCAGCTAAAAAGGACAGTTAGTATACAGATCTGAAGGTACTGTGTGCTCTTCAGTCTAACAGTGCAGTCAAGTTCATTTGGTTTGGTACATTACTGGAATTACATTTGCATCTTCTAGCAGTCTTGTGTTTCAGTGCTGAGAGTTGCTAATCATTTTAAAATCCTCCCCATGAGATCAACATAAAGGATCAGTGTATGTTCATAGTTTACTTAATAGGGCAGGAAAATAATACAGTGATTATGCTTAGAGTATTAAATCAGGTAATGTAGCATAATGTTATTGAGAAATAATTTCAAGAATACTTGAAAGTAATGGCACTTCTGCCATTAAGTATCATCGTTAAAAAGTTTAATTTCAAAGGCCTAATAGAACATTTTGAATCTTTTGTGTGTTCTCTGGCACTTATTCACAAAACTCATGTGTTCGTCATTTCTATTCCATTACATAAGTATTACTATGTATCAAGGTGGTTTACTTTTAATTCTTTTCTTTTCTTTACTTAGGCTCCTAAATGATTTTTTACACTTTTCTCGAGTCTTTTGATAAGTATTTTGGAAATTGAAATTTGGCACTTCTGTTATGTGAGAATTATGATGTAAAATGTGAGTTACTTTAATTCAGTTTAAGGATCTGAATGAAGTTATACATCTATAGAGCCTTAATACAGATTCTGATCTATATATGGAACTTTTTGTTTTAAGAGTATTGTTATGTGCGAATTTAATTTTCAATATGTAGACAATAAATGTATGCCATGCATAAATGTAAGATTTTTAATTTCATCCCAGAAGTGCCAGTTCTTTTTATCTTTGAGTAAGCTTTCTAAATTAGCCTTCAAGGAAAAAAGTTTGTTCACTATTGCTCTAAGTGTGTTTGAGACAATCACAACCACTAATAAAGATTTCTGTTCTTTCACAATTACTACTATCTGCAAAATGGTACTACACCACAATTTCAACTTACATTTACAAAACAGTCCAGCCAGTCACAATAATGTTCTTTGAACAATAGGTAATACAACTGAATTGTATAATACTCCACCAATCAAGCTGGACATAACTTTAAATTAATAACATCTGGCCAAGCACTGCATTCAGACAATTCTTCCTTCCTGTTTATTAGATAGTTTAAATTGTGACATTACTTTTCAATAAATGGTCACAAGTATGTACATATGAATATAGCATGTTTGACTACAGTCCAAGTAAGTACAACTACCCTTAAAATTATGCAGTGTAATATCTTTACAAAGGATGGAGACGCAGTAGTAAAGGAACTTGTACCACTAACTATATGTCTAACATTATCTGACTGCTAGTTTAAATGTAAGGAAAACGGGGCTATATTCAGTGTTTGAATCTGAAAATTGCTCGTCTCATCTCATGTTTCTGTTATTACAGTCTATTCATCCAGAGATCCCCAGGTTGTGCCGGGGGGGGGGAATGAGTAGATTCTACTTGAATTTTTTATGCTATACAACACTGATCAACTAGAATACGGACATTATTTTTCATTGATAACTTAACCCATCATCTGTTTTTGGAAGAATCCTTCCTCTTATGCTATGCCATCATTATCTTTACCAAGAGTTACCCAGTGCTTTTTGAGTGCTGGAGCACTGCCCTGGACTGTTCTGCCTCAACGACAGCCCTGCTTGAAATTTATTGTTAGTAGTAATAGATAGCAAGCACCATGTTTAATTCTCACTTTCACAATCTGCAAATGTCCCAAAAATGGCATGCTCTTTATTCTAAATCTACAGTTTAAAAATGTGTAAATGCTATTATGTCCTTATAACCTGCATAATTATATTTAAGTTATTCAAAAATTAGGTGCAAATAAAATTTTGGCAAGTAATGGGTTAAGTGTTATACAAAAGATACTATTAACAAAATATAATCTACTGGTGTACATACAAGTGTTATATTATGTAAAGGATATCATAAGTTCATAAAATGTAGGTGCCATCAATATTTAGATGCCTTTAAACATGTTTTCATTAAAAATGTTCATTCAGCCATTCTTGGGTTGTTACATGCAGACAGATGAACAGACACATTTTGGAAACTTTTGGTTGTGAATGTGCTTAAGAAGTCATGTAGTACCCATAATATAAAAGTTAAATCAGTTTTCTAGGCAAAATATGAGATTTTGTGCTAGTTGATTTCAAAGTGTGTACTTTTAGCCACTGAAAAAGCACTTTTTAGCCATTTTTTTGTTTTTTCTTGTTATGTCCTTGAACCATATGACAGACTTTCAAGAATCTTGGTATGGACATCATGCTAGTAGAGGCCGTAACACCTCTATTTTAGATTTCCTGTTATTAACATGGGAATCATGTGACTTTGAAAGTGGGGGTGATATTAAATCTCACTTAATGTAGGGTTCTGAACTGGTGTAACAGATCTTCAATAAGTGTAATCTTTTGTTAATGTAATTTTGTAGTAAGATGTTAAAAAAGCAACAAAATGACAGCCACAAATAATCAGTATCACATCTTAATTTGATGGCATATAGTGATGGATCATTGGAGCAAGGTATGTGAAATTTTGTGCAAAGATAAATCATAGACATACCCATGAATTTCTATTAAATGCATTAATAATTACAACACAGCAATGATGTGTCTAAGTTTATACGAGGCATATTTATCATAGTATTTGCATAAATGGAAAATGCATATAAATAACAACATTCATATAATTAGTCAGCCTCACCAAACAAAATGATGTATTTGAAGTAAAGTAGGCACCTTAAGTTATTTCCAGAATTTCTTCTTTAGCACAGGAATCTGTAACCACAACTGTATGTAGTTTTTATTGACAATTCAGCGAATTCTCCCAAGATAGTAGCAATGTAAACAGGAATTTAAGGAACAATATGAAACAAAAGAGAACCCTTAAGGCATCCTGCAAGTACATACAGTAGAGTCCAGATTATCCAACCTAAATGGGACCAAAGGATGGTCAGATGGTATGAAAGACTAATGCAAAAGATGAGGGTAAATATTAATTCACTTTGTTACTCAATTTACAATATTATTCAATTATGAAGAAAATACAATAAGGTATCAAATTAAAAAATATCACAAATATAAATATTTACCATATTCTAATGGAAGTCATTTTTTTAAGTAAATTAGTAATGGATATTTGCTTCTGAGCCTCATTCATTTTCTTTGTGGCAAGGTCGTGCCAGTACCTGAACAGTAGTACATCTGTAATGACTGTACATAAAGTGCAGAAGGTGCATGGTGGGGCTGTACGATTCATTTCACTACATGCACAGCTGACTGTTGATAAAATGGAGTGTTCTGACATGGCACAGCAGATAATTTGGACTCTACTGTACATATGAATACAAATTTAAGAATATAATTTGTACCAATTACCAAATGATACTTCCAGAATTACTGAATAACTGATGGTTAACTGTATTCAGTTTGGTAAATACTGTACGCAGTAACATTTCAGTCTTTGAATACCTTACTCAAGAACATGGTGAAAATTATGAAACTTTGTTGTATGACCTTTCCAAAACTGGACACTGCATACAATTGTCATTCAAAATAATTTCACAAAGTTACTTCAGGTAGAATTCAGTACAAATGCTATACAACACTAGTTAATCTACATCATAAAGGTATAAAATATTTCTATACAGTGATTAAAAGAAAAATGGTTTCCTCAGACATTGTACATTATGAATGATACCTGATGCAACTTTGAAACAAATCATTCATCATTATGGATTCTTTGTATTTTTGTGATTTATGTTAATTCCTAAAAGTATATATTACCTCCACTCTACAATAAAACCTTCTGCCTACAATAATTGCTGAAAATGTAATTATAGATTAAACATCTTCATGCATCTAGAAGTACTATAATTTCCTCTATTCCTTCACCATTTTAAAATCCAATACTTTAAATACAGTATAACAATTAATGTCAAAATTATTCTCACTATTCTTTAAATGTATGAATCTACACAAAGTCTATTTACCTAGGAACTTCATTAAAAAAAGAAGGCAAACCATTATGCTGCTGCTTATCTCTATTTAACAAAATAAGTGCATTAATTATGTCATACTACTGTTCACAGGAAAAATATAAGATACCTTTGCTAAAAGATGCTTGGCAGTATCAATTCCAGCTACTCTTAGCATTTCAGGGAATTTAGGTGAGAGAAATAGCAATATGACAATTCTCATAAAGTGTTAGAAATATCATTACAAACACATATTTGTACTATTTTTATGGAATGCAACAAAGTTAAATGGCATCATGCAATTAGAATCCAAAGCATCCTAGAAGAGAAATCACATTAAAAGCTGCTATGTATTATACTAAAGTCTGACACAAAAGTTATCATTCAAACTTGGACTATGGAAATTACAAAGTCAAACGCACATGTAAATCTACAGTTTGATATTCTAGACTTTTCAGACAGCAAAGGTTAAGAAATGTGGAAATAGTCACAAATTAACATGCAAACTGTAATTTCAGCTTTCAGGGTTAAGGCATGTTGAATGTTGAGAGTTATCCAATGTTTCAGTTAACAATGTAGTTGCCATCTTCAGAGTGAATGTGTGGTGACTGGGGCATGCTTAGAAGCCTTATGCAGGGCAGGCAATACAAGAGCAGGCTCTTCCTCTCCATCAGTCAGCATCAGCATGTCCTAATCACTGCCTACATAGCTCAACCCCGAAAGCTAAAGTTATACGCTGAACTCCAGCCGCAAAAACCGAAGGAAAAGTACTGTGTAATCAGAATTCAAGCTGTTCCAGCAAATTAAACTGCATTATACTGGAAATGCCTGTGCAATGAGAGTTGTTTTAGAACAAAGGAGAGAAATATATGGGCCTTAATTCTTGAAATGAAAAAGTGGCACTGTTAAAATTATACCACATATTTAAATACATTATACCATAAGTATTGCTTTTCAATTGCTGCAGGTGTTACTTGTTACCACTAAAATCTTACTGAACAAGATCAAGATCACAGCCTCTCCCACTGGTTTCCTCTGGAAATCTTTATGCTAAAAATGTTCTTTGCCAGGTACAGTTCAGCATGGAATGTCATTTTCCTACCCATGGCCACACCTGAGTTTATTTCACAGTAATATGAACAAATATCTTTGAATCAAAGTCCTCTTTCATGAATGTTATCTTCAACATCTTTTCCATACTGAAAAGGTGACATTCAAAGATACTCTGATAGTTATGGTAACATCACTACATAGCAATAACACAGCCAATAACAAGGTACTTCACTATTTCCAGCACCGACTATTTTTACCATTGTAACATAACTATTTTATTGCTTTGGTTTTATGTCCTGCACTTTTACTGTACTTCATGCTGGAAAAACAACTTTTTCCCATTTTAAGGTACTCTTGTGCATTTGACAGCACTTTTTAAAGTCCTTAGATTATGTAGCATCAGACAGTATGGTGATTTATGACATATAAAAGAAATGCGGCCTATTTTAAAGTGTTTGAACAGAACAGAAAAACCTGGCCACGAAGTCAGTCTGTCAACAAATTCAAGATAGAAGGGTTACGGAATAAAGTTGTTTTGTTGTCAATCATTTCTGCTCCTTATTCCTAGTTCCAATAAGCCAAGTTTATATAATATAAATTATAGCAGAGCAGTCTTTCTTTTCTGTTAAAATGTCTCGTCATGGTCCCATTCACCTCCCTGGTTTCTGAAAGGATTATATACTTACACTGGCCTGTAAAATGTCTTGCAGGTTCACTGGCTGCAGTGAAGCATTTTAAATAAATAATAAAAATATTAAAATCAGATAATCACAGACACAGAAATAGTAACCACCAATTATTGAAAGCATGACAAAGAGAATCCAGAAGATGGCTTAACCGAGATCACAAACTGCAAAAAAGGTGAAATGAAAGTCATGAACTATTTTAAAGCACTGTCTCAGCATTTGCCAGGAGTGACTATGGAAAACCAGAAAAAACCTTAGAATATAAATTCTGAGTTCTGAACCCATGAAACACACGCTAACCATGCAACTATGAGTAAAACATTCAGTGAAAACTGTGCATATAAGTCTCATGTGCAAACAGGTAGTTCTACCTTTCACAAGATGGGGACTTCTAGATGACTGGATAGTAATGAATGATGCGTCAGTAAAGGTGAGATATTAAGAAATAAAGGAAAACCACAAAATCCTAATAATAATAACACGCACAATATCCTTGTTACTGACTATAAGGTAGGTACCAAAAATAAATGCATCAGAAGATAATATCTGCCATTCTTACTCAAATATCTATGAACGAACCTACAGACTCTCATAACAATACCAGTATTTAAATAGACAATTCTGATGCCTATACTTTCATGTCACAACATTCCTCACTTAAGTTATCTATAAAGATTATAGAATTGACAAAAATTCCTATAATAAATTATACATTTTAACTGGTCTGCGCAAAGAATAATTAGGCTCAATATTTAATCAGTCCTTGGAATGTACCCTCATTACTGACATCACAGAGAAACTGGAACTGGTATCCTTCAGGACTACCTTCACTACAACTATATACAAATGTCAGATTAATGAATTGACATCATAATGGTAATTAATGTTCTATGCCATGACATCAGAGGATAATGGCATGAGAACAGCCTTCAACTCAGTTCACACTCACATTCTTTGAGAACAGCACACTCCTGTATCCAACAATTATGGTTTACATCGACATGATGTTTGCAAGGCTGGGCATGAGTTCTGCTTGGATTGGTCCATAATCGACAACTTCTCCATCCACAGTCATATGTCCACCTGATGTTTCAGGTTCCAGTCTGAAGGCAGTAACAGGAATCATTTCTGCTTGAGGAATCAACAAGTGTGATCCTGATGAAAGACCCAAGAGGAACTGTAACATCACAAGAAACTTATTTTTCAATTTGCAAGCATAGACTAATTTGGAAAATACAAGTATTATGCCCCCACCCTCCAAAAAAATTGAGTTATGTACATTCCTTTTGATTCTAAATGTGGCACAAAATTATAAATCTGGAAACCACTGGCATATTTTACCATCCTGATCATATAAGCTTTTTTTTAAAGCTAAGAGTGCATAAAATGTAAAATCAAAATACAACATCACTTTTGTGTGAACGACGTCATATATCTGACCTGAAGCAGCTGTCCACGACTAATACCAGCACGAATCACCAGCAACCAAATGATTCCATCTGCCAACTTGGAATTTGGTGCAAATAAGCAGTCAGATCCAAGATGTGACTGGTAAGATGCATGAACCAATATAAAATCACCTACAGGGCACAGAAAATACATGTAATAATGACTTGAACTTTCCTTCAGTTTAGTTTAATGTCAGTTTGTTTCAGGGAAGAAAAAGATACAAAATTCTCTATTATATGATGCCAATAATATCAAAATCATAAATAAACTAGACATTCAGTAAACACTTTTACTATCAGTATTTACCAAACAAATAGTTAGGAGGTGCACATAACTGGCTCAGAATTTTGTGTTGGTATTAGGGTACTGAACCTCAGTGTTCAACTACCAGATACTTAGCTGTTTAATTTACTAAAAAAACATGCCTATACATTCTTTAAAATAAAATATGTAAGCAGTAAGATAAGAAAAAGAAAGATCTTGCTAGATGGTTGGTACAGCCATGTATTCTTCAGTTACATACACTTATTTATAAACAATACAGTACTATACTTCACTTCACGTGATTAAAAACATGAGTACCTTCCTCACAGAACTCAACTAAAGACTTCATAACAACTTTCAAACTTCTTATGATTTTTATTACCTTCAATGCTGCTCCAGTGATCTGGGACGGGTTGTGTTAAAGCAGGCAACTGTGATGGAGGTCCATACATACGAACATTGCTGTTTGGCCTGCGAGGTTGTATATCTCCACCTCCATGGACACCCATATATGAACAATTATCTGCCACAGATCGATAGTCAGAGCCTGCGGTGGAGAAATACGTGGAACGACGGGAGGCAGCAGAATAATAAGAATCAAGCCTTGGGCGACCAAATTCATCTCCATCTCTCAAATCTTCCAGTGCTGGCCCCAGTGAAGTTTCTAAGCTTAATGAATCTGTAACTGGGTCATCACAACCTACTTCCTACAAAGAATCAGGAAAATAGTAAACTTAATAACTTTCAGATCATCTTGGTAATACTATTACTACAGTGAGTTTTATTGTAAATGTGTACTTGGCAAAAGAGTCATCCTCCCATGAACTTGGGTCAACCCATTATGCATGAGCTTTCTTCAAAGCTACAGAGCCTAAAAAAGCCATTGTATTACTACTGCTGCCACTGTCACCGCCACCACCACCACTTGCCATCTTCTACTTGTGGCTTTCAATTATGCATTTTAACTGTTCCCTTCAGATGGCCCCAAAGGTAGAAGTTAGCAGATCAGGTGATAGAAGAGGCCACAAATCTAGTCTTTCATTGTATCCACTGACTTGGGTAGTAAGAGCCCAAACACGGCTTTGTTACAGATGAAACAAGCAGGCGCTACATCATGCATAAACCACAGTCTGTCATACGGCCAATGGCACATACTCCAGTAGTTCAGGTAATTCTTCCATTACCAAATGTTAATAGGAGGCCCTTGACAGTCAGGACAGTAGCTTGTAGGGTCCTGTGAGGCAATAACCTATTATTCCTGACCAAACATTAATTGCAAACTGATGCCTCGTTGCTATGTAACATCACAAAGATGTATTGATAAATGTTTCATGTTTTACAAAACTCTACTAGTCCATAGGCCTAGAAAGTTGATATTCTGCTTCTGGGCATGAAGTTAAGCCAACAAATTACATGTTTCAGCTTCTTCCACAGTGGCTAGTAACCCCTCCACTTTAAAATTAATTAACATTCAAGTCTCAAAGTATTAGTTATGAATGGTATTAGTGTTTATTCCCTTACCACCAGATATAGAGATGCAGTTTGTGGTTACCCACATACTTAGCAGGTCAGTGTCCAAGCAAAAACTGTCACTTCTTTGTATTTAAGAATATTACCTGCAATGGACGGTACCGTGAATTAATGCTGTCGTGGCAGCTGTGGCTAGGATGGACAGGTGTGTATGAAGTAGCTGGGAAGATGTCCCGAGGTTTGCTACCCGTTTCAGCACAGTGGCTTACACTGCGCGTTAGTCCACTCATGTAAGTTTGTGCAGACTGCACCCTGCAACCTGCAACTGGTAGGTACCACAACTTTCCACGGTATGTCCTCAATCCTGCAACAATTCCCATAATATTTTATTATGCTACTAGTGTCCAAGTTAAGTCAAACTTTCCTGAAGAAACCAGTCATTATGAAATTACATAAAATCAAGCAAGGATGGAAATGGAGGTTCAGTTTGTACATTTTATAATCATCAATGGCAAGGCTATTTACATACTGTGGCTTTGTAGATACTAGGTAGATGATGGAAATTAGCAGAGAAATTTTAACAAGCTGGTAAGTTGTTAGTAAATGGTAATGTAGAAAACATTAGTCAGCTAGATTAAGAAGGAATATATTTTTAACAACTTACTGAACTAACTTCATGGAGCAGTCTTTTTGAGAAGCTGATAGTCATTCAGCTGGTCAAGAAATTCCCTGCCTTTTAGACAGTATGAAAGTTCATTATCATATTCACAACAGCTCACCACTGGGCACTATCCTGAGCCACATGTATCCATACCACATCATACCCTATTTGTTTAATCTGAATAATGGTAGTGGTTAATTTTTATGTATTTAACATTTTAATAGGACTGTCTTGCATACATAAATATTAATTTTCACAAAAATAATATTTCATCCATATACACTCCCTAATAACAAAGTTTTGCAAAATATCCGTGAAAACAAATTTCTATCCTGGATCACAATTTGTGTAAATGAACTCTAAATTTTATGGACTGTATTTGATTCTGAATATTATTTTCAAGGAAAGATGTTAAGTAGGACAATGCTAGTGCTTACACATATTTATGAAGCAAGTCAATGCATATTTAAATAAATTAAATTTCCTGCAGGTTCTGCAATCTCCTCCAGTTCCTTTTATGCCTTATTATGTATGTGTGCATGCATGTGTGTGTATACATATATATGTATATGCAGAATTTACAAATATACCACCCAATAAATTGTTCAAGGGTTACAATAATCAAGTATAAGCTTTAGAATGTGATCACATTTACTGACCTATGAGCCTAGCTACACTCCATACTGTGAACCGCTGCCCACCAATGGCCCTTAACCTCTCAGATTCAATATCAATATCTGACAGGAGACCCCAGCCCACGGACAAGAAGGAAAACAAGAACTGAAAACAGAAACCTTCAGGTTAATTACTGCTTTCTTAAAATCTACTCTCAACCCAAGAAGCAGCAATTAATGATTTTTAAACAGTTAACATGATTTCAAAAGTGTAAGTGTTTGATATTTCTTCAGTTGAGTATTTTCAATTACATTTTCTGTGATATAAGTACCCCTTATTTCAGGAATTTGTAATGCCACTTCTAGGGTCAACTATAACAACACATGGACAACACACTTTTTTAAAACTGTGACATTCATCACCTCTGGGACTGATGGCAAAGATGACGTATGATTAAAATAAGCATATGGTGATTTAATTTAGTCATAAGACCAAAGCACAAATGACAACACATTAGGGGAACAGATTGTTGGTTAGACAGTATGAAAGTTCATTATCATATTCACAACAGCTCACCACTGGGCACTATCCTGAGCCACATGTATCCATACCACATCATACCCTATTTGTTTAATCTGAATAATGGTAGTGGTTAATTTTTATGTATTTAACATTTTAATAGGACTGTCTTGCATACATAAATATTAATTTTCACAAAAATAATATTTCATCCATATACACTCCCTAATAACAAAGTTTTGCAAAATATCCGTGAAAACAAATTTCTATCCTGGATCACAATTTGTGTAAATGAACTCTAAATTTTATGGACTGTATTTGATTCTGAATATTATTTTCAAGGAAAGATGTTAAGTAGGACAATGCTAGTGCTTACACATATTTATGAAGCAAGTCAATGCATATTTAAATAAATTAAATTTCCTGCAGGTTCTGCAATCTCCTCCAGTTCCTTTTATGCCTTATTATGTATGTGTGCATGCATGTGTGTGTATACATATATATGTATATGCAGAATTTACAAATATACCACCCAATAAATTGTTCAAGGGTTACAATAATCAAGTATAAGCTTTAGAATGTGATCACATTTACTGACCTATGAGCCTAGCTACACTCCATACTGTGAACCGCTGCCCACCAATGGCCCTTAACCTCTCAGATTCAATATCAATATCTGACAGGAGACCCCAGCCCACGGACAAGAAGGAAAACAAGAACTGAAAACAGAAACCTTCAGGTTAATTACTGCTTTCTTAAAATCTACTCTCAACCCAAGAAGCAGCAATTAATGATTTTTAAACAGTTAACATGATTTCAAAAGTGTAAGTGTTTGATATTTCTTCAGTTGAGTATTTTCAATTACATTTTCTGTGATATAAGTACCCCTTATTTCAGGAATTTGTAATGCCACTTCTAGGGTCAACTATAACAACACATGGACAACACACTTTTTTAAAACTGTGACATTCATCACCTCTGGGACTGATGGCAAAGATGACGTATGATTAAAATAAGCATATGGTGATTTAATTTAGTCATAAGACCAAAGCACAAATGACAACACATTAGGGGAACAGATTGTTGGTGTGAAATGGAATGAACTGAATCAGAATAGTGTTATGTTAATTATAATCAAAGCTAAAATTCAATAAATGGGAATTATTTAATAGCTGAATATTGTAACTTCTAAGGGAAAATCTCTCCCTAAGAGTAAGTTAGTTTAAACAATCTGAATATCTATATGGTATCATATTAAACTGAATGTGAATACATCTTTAAACAGAAAGCATGCAATGCTAAATTATTATCATGTATCAATATTATCTCCTCCTTCTTATAAGAACATTACTGACTGTAAAGTAAATAAAGTTGATAGTTCCTAATAAGAATTTTTACTATTTCATAAAGCAATTATTTATCATTCTCAAACATGGCCTGCAACTGTGAAATTATCTGTTACAATCTTACTAATGGGTTACTCAACAACACTGTCAATAGATCAGATCATATAACATTATTAGAAAATGATAAATTTGAAACCACGTGGAACACCACAAAATGCTCAGTCAAGATAGCCCATCTCTGTGCTGACATTTCTACCTGGGACCTTTCAAATACAAAGCAGAGTACTAACCACTTACCAAGTTTTACTATAAAAGAAGAGTTTGGAAAGCCTGTCTGGAGGCTTATCACAAACCTAATCATTCATATATCGGTAACCTGTCTGGATATTGAAGCTGTCCAGAATTCCTTGTACATTAACAAAGGAAATAATAATGAAGGGTAAAGATGGCTAACTAAATTCCATGGTGTGCTCAGATTTAATTTCTGTTTGTAGCTGTCCTGAATAAGTCTTACATAGTCCTTCCAGGCAAAATAACCTACAGCCACCGCCATCCCAAATCATGAATCACATACTGCTCCTTTTTGAACTCAAATTCAGGGGCGCAAGCTCTTTAGCCCTGCGGGACAAGGTATGGGGAGGAATATGTAAAAGTGATGGCTAATGAGGAGACCACTGCCTATCTGGTGTACACAGTATGCAACTATTATCTGTCCTAAAAATATTTGACACTACCCACCTCCATGGTGAGAAGTTGGAAACTGACACCCTGTGCTCTGTGATATGGACAGGGCCTACCCTTAGTGAATTATAGTCAAATTTAATAATACTGACAAATACTAAAGGAAATCTGCATGCATACTTCCCAAAAAAGTGCAAAGGAGAACTTGGTCAATGCTTTCACCAAACAGTAGATGTAAGTTGTGCCTACTAACATACATGCTGAAGATAATTTTCATGCTACATAAAGTGACAGAATAACAAAAAGGACAATACTGACATTAAGCTTCCTGCACCCACGAACATAACAGAGTTGAATGACATCTAAGACAATATTCATTACAAACAACATTGCATATATTGTGTGCTTCACTTAAGCATCTTGTGTGGTTCTTTCAATGATGATCAGAAGTCTATTAAATTTTCATGATGAAAATATCAATGACATGAAATTAAAACATGTCATGGATTTAAAATAATGCCTTCAAATAGCTATCTAGTTATTTTGTTAGTGAATAACTGCAACTCCTTTGTAAGTCATACATCTCCTCCCCTTATGCATTCAGACCATACTCAAGGAAAGAGGCAGAAAACTAGATAATTACAAAAGAAGAATTTTCACTTTAGCTTTGTCCAGAACACAGTTAATACATATCAAAATAACATTGCGAGAGAAACAGAATTACAATGAAAATCCCTACTTGTGGAATTATACATTAACTAATGAAGACAGACACAAGTTCATTTGATCCTGAACAGACAAAATTCCTAGCTGCACCTAAAGTGTGCTTAAGAATATACAAACCTGAGACTTTGTCTCTACTCGAACCAAATCCATAGGTGCACACCTGCATTTGATCACAGACAGTGTGGAGATAAGAACTGGATTCTGGTCATATGGTTCTCTGAAACACAAGGGTATGTAGAATTTATCATTCTTGTCCATGATGACAATATCCAAAATAAGATCATACAAATACTCCTATCAACCTATTCCATCATGCCTGGACAATACACAAAATGTACAATCTCCTTAAGTACTGTTCCAGAAAACTATATACTTGTTCATAACATAATGATTGCAAATTTTATCCATAATGAGATTTTGAAAATATGTTGTGGCACTGAATGTATATCCTACTTAAAATGTAGTAGCACCCAGTTGCAGCTATGAACAAGGAACTTAAGTGAAACAAAAATGTCAGAATTCACTCTTTAAAACAAGATTTTATTTGAGCAATTGTGTTTTAAGTATGAAGCTACTTGATTCATGCTGTGTATGTTCAGAGCTTTCCTATTAGAAACCAAGTTACTAGTTTCAAAGTTCTCCATGCAAGATTTTTTGATCACTTTTGTTAATAATTAAGAGCTGATAACGTTTAGTAAATTAATGGAAGGGGCAGTTTTACCCCTCACATTTTGTTTAACATTAGAAAGAGGTACGTCTGTTAATAAATGCGGTTTTCCACGCTGTTGCTATTTCAAAAGAGTAACCTAATATCATATAACATCTCTAATATACATGACAGAGCTGCTGATTTAATCAATACTACTCATAACAGCAAAGTGCACTTAAGATTATCTTCAAGTCTGATACTCCAATTTAAACAGTCCACAGTGAAGAATGGAAAATAACAGTTGGAATGTTAGTTATAGTTACAGCACCAACTACTTCAATTGCCACTTCATATGCAAATTGTGAAACTACAGGCTTTCCATATGAGATTTGAGGTTCTCATAGCTGTAAAGATGTCGGTGTTTGTATCGGCTCTGTTCAGAACTGACAATGTAGGTAGGTTGTTCCTCCGAAATATTGGACCTACAGTCCACATGGTGTTGCAACTAACAATAACCAATAGTGACACAGACTTTCCAATTTATGTGGATAATCTGCAGTCCACAGTGGCTGCGCGGTCTGAGGCATGGACCTTGTGCTGCTGGGACTGTGGGTTCGAATCCCACTCAAGCCATAAATGTTTTTCTGTGTTGTGCTGTCCTGTGTACAGGTAGAGGCCTTGCGACGGGCCGATCCCTCATCCAAGGAGTCCTACAAAATGTCTATAGACCAAGCCAACGAAAAGTTGGGACCCGCAGTGCTCAGGCACTTGAAGAACGGGTCGTTCCCAGTATCCCAGTGGATAATCTATGTTTAAGTGTATGTTGGATGGGGGAAAATATGGATAATTTTATATTACAATAATTATATGCATTTCCTTATCATATATTTCACAACCCAACAGTTACTCCAACATAAAGACTGCTGCAATTAATTACTCAGTTCTCATATTATAATACAAGTCCCAGTTTCTGAGTTAATTTACAATGTGTGACCAGGATTATAACAACAAACAGCATCACAAAGTTTTACTTACTTACATCAACACCAATATTCACGGACATTAAAGTCTGGGGTGTTAAATAAACGAAAACAGAATATTCCTGGACTAGTTTAATAAATAAAACTAGCATATTATTAAATGTGAAACTAAGTTAAGTAGAACACAAACCAATTACTGCTTTCATACTCTTGACTTACTCAACAGCATAGCTGATAGTTTTGGCCAACCCATTTCCAGATCCACAAGGAATGACTCCAACAGGCAGTTCCTTTACAGCTGTTTGCCAGTCTTCACGTTCAAACAGTCCATTGATCACCTCAAAGACAATTCCATCTCCTCCTACCACAACCACACCACGCCACTGATAAATATCTTTTGTGCGTACGAAGTCCCGGGCATAGTTTGCATGTTTTGTCACATACAGATCAAAACCAATTTCTGCTTCGGCAAATACTGGAACAACCCTCTGCTGGAAGAGTTCTCGTGCTTTCCCTGGGCCACTCTTCGGATTCAGCAACACCAACAGTTTCCTCTCCTCCAGGTGGAAAACTATATCATAACAAAAGCCATTAGACAACATTTCAAAATGTCAACCAATCTATTAATTTGGATGTGCAGCACTTAAGGATAAGTTAAGTGTATTGTAATTTATAGACAATTAGACATTTTCATTATTCCTCTGATTATCATAATATGCAGGCAAACGTTTATTATACCAGTTCATAATAAGAAAATATATTGGATAATTCTTTTTATTACAATATTAAGGATTTTACTTTCAAATTCCTTCACTCTACCTAAAGCATATGGAACAATTAAGTCAGTTATGTGGGATATCGAGTTTAGAATTCTTACCAAAAAATTAACAAATTTTGGTGCATTATTATTTTCACGATTTTTGTTTCTCAATAATTCAAAACATGTTTATTGTAATGTTTACTTATCTGCCTTATCTGAATGACTTTGCAGCTCTAACACCCGCTAAACAAACAAATTATCAAGTTTTCATTATTATTGTAACTACTTGAAAAACTGCCAACACACCAAAATAAACACTTCACAATCAAAGGAACTACTGCATTCCTATTACACCTTTCCCTGCTATGAACATTTGTATACAGAACGTCTTAACATTTAATTGTAGAATTTAAAAATGGGTTAAATATAATAAATAGTTTTATTTCTGTTATGGAAGGATATGGTGGCCAACAGTAACTCATGATATATACGCTAGTATTTTCATTTTTGAACAGACATCACTGAAAGGTACTAATCCATTCCCTACGCAAATCACTTCTGCTAGTACAGATTTTCTTCATATGACGTTTCTCATAAAATCACCATCATTATGTTTGTAAATATAACAGTTTCGCGGTGTGCTGCCATGTACCTTTGATAAATTAGGGTGTGCACCACAAGCACCAAACCATGAACACGTGTGGGGGAATGGAGGTAAATCTCCACGCATCCTTGTCCTCGGTAGCTCGACCGGGTGGTATTGTGTTGTCACCTTCACGATCTGGTCGATTTACCTCCATAGACCGTGTGAAAAAAGGCCGAGGAACACTATTCTACACAATCGAAGACTACATTAAAAGGTGAAAGTACTGTCTACGATTGTAAAAGTCTCTCAGACTATTGTACACCCCTGCCGACCCTGGCTGAACAGATCGCTCTGATGATGGAGGCAGCAAGGGCCCCCGAACCGGCCATCTTAATATTGATTCTCATACTATGTTACGCAGCAGTTTCGATACCTTGCAAAAAAAACAAGTAAATCTTCTCGTTACGACGAAGGTAATTTTAGCCTGCAGGTGTTCACCTTTGCCCACAGTTTTAAAAACATTTTGAACCTTGTACCAAGGCTTTGTATTGAGTACTAAGTTATCAAACAATTATCTTGTGACGCTGCCTTTGTAGTCTCCCTGGACTCATGCGGAACTGTAAACACGTGATTTTAGCACAGCTTATTTCCAGAGATTCAACGGCGCACTGTCCAAACAATCAGCAGTGAATAAACAGAACCTTGAAGATATCTGTCTTCTGGGTTGTTGCGATGAATCATCGCCCAAATGACGGAGGAAGTATGACCTCTGAAATGTTGGTAAACATCTACCAGACTACACGGCGGAACAACACAGAAGACAGAAATCTTCATACTCATCGCTGTGAAAACCTCAAATCTTACATAAACAGAACCTTCGTATTTAAAAGGTTTTATCAGCACTTTACTCGACTGATTAGACTAATGTCAATTCTATTCAGTGTTAATTAGGATTGATTAGATGATACGAGAACCTAGCAAGGCTCTTTACCTTCAGACGGCACCAAAGGAAAGTAACTCTATGTAAAAGAATTCATCTTGAGAAGCTGACAGAAGTTCAACTTGTGAAGGAATTCCCGAAGCCAAATAGCTCAGAACAGAGGCGATTCATGATTTCTACTGTAATCTACATCCGGTATATTTCATTTCGAGGTCTGCACGGGCCTGGGAATGGTTCAAATATCAATCAAACGTTGTACAGAACATTTAGGGCTTTCTCGGGCCTTTCTTCTTTCGCAAAGAAAAAAAAGTTATTCGTAATTGCGCTCACATCCTCGTGACACATTCGGGCTCCAGAAACAAATCCCACCGACTTGTTCTTTTCTGGAATTTCCGTAGCTGCCCCCTCCCAGAAATAGTTCCAGTTAGCACTTTACAAACTTGGTTTCGGATATATTTCTATTGTCCAAACGCCAAAACAACCCGAGATGTTCTTGGTGCGCCGTTACATAATTCTTCCAAGGATTACATGCATTTATGCATTAAAAGAAACGAATTCATAACATGGACATTCAGGATGGCCGGTTAAAATTATAATATTTCGGCCCGTTCAAACCTCCAGCGCAACAAACACTGTGTAACAGAAGATTAATTCAACCTACACAAATAACTTATTACTCCGTTCAAAATCATTTCTTCGCTTTAAAGATGGTTCATTTATTCCTGCTTCATAACCTGAAATGCTGGGTGAATGTTCAATGCCTTCGAATGTTTCGTTACGCAGTCCCGCACAAACTATTACAGTCTATAGAGTTGGTCTTCTTTCAAGTTCTTGTTATGAAAAAACAGTGTTACCGCAATATATGTAGTTCATTAACCGACTAAGAGGCAGTTGCAGGTTTGATCGAAAACAACCTATGTACAAATATTGTGATGTAGTGCAGTTACGTTCAGAAATGATACGAAATAAAGCAGAGGACAAGGGGAGGGGAGAGGGGAACAAAGGAAAGAATCAAGAAAGAGCACCAACTGCAGCACGAAATAAAGATGGATATTTTTATTTAAGAATGAAAACGGTTGTTGTGTGAGACTGCATAACATAAAAATCCGGAGGAATTGAACATCCACCCGTAATTTCTGATGGAAGCAAGTGAACAAGCCTCGCTGTTTGCTATATTCATCAATGGGCAAGGCAGTTGACGTAAACTGCAACTCCTTGTTTCTACATGAAGCACGCTTGTACTCCTTTAAACATGACACTCATCGCCGAAGGGCAATCATTTCTTGTCCTTGTGGGAATTCCATTTTGAGCCACATCTTTCAAGGCATTATAATATTCATTAAAGACTAAAACTGTATGTCTTCACTAATTTTATCTTCGTAAACATACCTAACGCCAATACTGGGCTGTTTCAGAATTCACATGACAAGCACACAACGCCCACATGGACAAGGAAAGACCCCAGCCAACGTGGTCCTTTCTAGAGCATCGGGCGACGCGTAGCATGCTTACTCTTGGTGATCAGGGCGAAGGGTCACACATCGCCCTGATGATGGAGGCAGTAAGTCCTCTAAAACGTTGGTAAACGTCAACCTGACTACACGGCGCAACACCCTATAAGACAGCAATCTTTGGTCCCCTACAACAACACATACGACACAGAAGTACGTCACATATCTACAGGCTAATGCATTATGAGATAAATGACTGCTGTCGACGTAAGAAAATGACGTGGGACTTCCGAAGTTTTAGACGCATCTCCGAAGTAAGTTGTACAACCTCCTGACGAAGTCCCGAAGTAGTAAGATAATTCTGGAGCATAATGTTATCTTTCATGGCGGAAACTTTCATAACAACACATCTATCAGTAAGATAATTATTCTACCATTTTATGTTGTTAAGAACGACTTCCGATGTAGTGGATAATGTTTTGAAACACACTTGTAAAATTCTTCGTTACCAATTTATACTGAAATTAATTGTTTCAAATTAGACCCTTCGGAATCCTTTCTGACATTTGGTAACTCTTTTTGGCGGCAATAATAATCTGCACCGAAATTACTCAATGAGCAGAACAAGCAATTCACTGGAGAGAAAAAAAAGCGAAAATGAAAATTCCTACTCGGACGGAACAATCGACATAAATGCCGCTTAGTTTTATCAGCCACTTTTGCTGGAAAAGACAAAGTTCGTACAATTACAGAAATGCCTACATAACATGTCAACTCAAGTGTTATCGATACGTGTACTGGATGCAGGGCAATGCCTTGACTAACTGAGCCAAGACAATGCTTCAAAGGCAAGCATTCAAACTCACGCCAAAAAGGGAATCTACATAAGAATTCGTACTGACTAATAAAATCCATGTGCACGTCCACTAAGCTGCATTAAGATACTCACAAAATTTCTTTCAGAACTGACCTTTCTAACAAGGCCAGTCCATCGATCGGCTAGCTGGACGGAATTTCCAGCGAGGTGTCAAAACAATACGGCAATAGTTCATATTTCAATCACACCTCAACTATTATTTTTGTTTTTTGGAGTCAAATAAAGAAAACGTATTTATAAACATGGCCCGGAGTGAAAAATTGGCTAGCCGTTAAAATAAGACAACAAAAATTCTTTCAAACGTTTAACACTTGTAGATGTCATGCAAAAAAAACAATCATTTATTTTTCGTCGTACACTTAGAATTACTTCGTGAATTAAGCAGATCAACTAAAATATCTTATTACGTAGTTATATATTTGCTACCAAATACACAGTCACAAAGAGTGGATTTTCAACGACATCGATTTTATTGTTTTGCAGTCGCGCGCAACATAAAGTCTACTTGGTCTTCTCTCAATTTCTTGGTATGGAACGTAGCAGCAGTAGTAATACCTTATTTCTCTGAAATACCACTTTAGCAGAAGCAGATTCTAAGTAAGTCTGACGAAGATTAGCATCAAAGCCTACAATTACTGCCATAGCAATATAGGACTGCATTATAAACTTCCAGAAAATTATAGGATTTTCACACGTCAAGCATATTCCTTTAAGACATCGTCTCTGTCGCCGATGTTTTTGTTACGTCGAGCCAATACTTCAATCGTGTGAAAAGAGGAAGTGCTGTTATTATTGACTGCGTTTGCCTGGGATTTTACGAAGTGCTCACCGGCAACCAGGAAGCACAGCCGGTGGCTGACGACGATTTAAGAGGTGGGAATTACCCGAACCCACTGACCAGCCGTCTGTTGATGTAAGTGTGCCGTGAGACTTGATTTTAATAACACAATCAACTGC